GAGAGCCAGAGACAAAGAACGATAGAGGGTGACTAGCACGCCTCAGTACGAACATACCTGCTGTAGAAGAAAATATTACACGGAATAACAGACAGGTTCTGTGGTTTTTCCTATTCCTCTTTTTCCCTACAGCAAGATGGGTTTAACCACGACTGAAGGTTGGTATTTTTACTTTTGTGCATGCACGTGTTTTCTAACATGCTTATGTAATCTGATACAAAACCCATGAGTTGTTTTGATTTTTAAAATCGATCCCCACAGACTCCTCTCCAGTGATCGGTGACTTAAGGATTGTTCTGCTGGGGAAAACTGGCTCAGGAAAGAGTGCAACAGGGAATACTATCCTGGGTTACAAAGCTTTTGACGAAGGAATATCTCCATCTTCTGTAACAAAGATGTGTAAGAAAGTGGCTGGACGTTTTGATGAAAGAACTGTGAGTGTTGTTGACACCCCTGGAATCTTTGACACATCAATTAAAGAAGAGGAACTGAAAAAGGAAATAGAAAAATGTATAATGCTGTCTGTCCCAGGACCCCATATGTTCCTGCTAGTGATCAGATTGGATGTGCGCTTCACAAAAGAAGAGAAGAGTTCTGTTAAATGGATCAAAGAAAACTTTGGGGATGAAGCCTCAAAGTATACAGCAGTGCTTTTCACAAGGGGTGATCAGTTAAAAGAAACATCCATCGAAAACTACTTAGAGCAAAGTCGTGATCTGAAGGAGCTCATCGCTGAGTGTAAAGCTGGGTATGTTGTATTTGACAACACATGCCAGAAAAATCGCACTCAGGTAGTTGATCTGTTTGAAAAGATAGACCAGACAGTGCAATTAAACGGGAACCATTACACCAGCAGCAAATACGAAGAGGCCCAGAAACAGATGAATCGGAACAAATGGTGGCGCAAATGTGGAGACAAATTGAACTCTGCAGGTGATTATTTGCTTGTGGCAGGAGCGGCAGTAGCTGCTGCACCTGCAGTTGGTGCTGCTGTAATGGCAGCAGCACCTGAAGTTGGTGCTGCTGTAATGGCAGTAGCACCTGCAGTTGGTGCTGCTGTAATGGCAGAGAAAGCAGCAGTCGCATCCGTTCGGCCTCTATTAATGCTTGTAGGAGCAGGGATTGTTAAAGGCATTGGGGGCTGGATCAGACCTAAAACAGAGAACAGCTAAGTATTACCAAGCCACGACCTTTATGAAGTCTCTTTATGAAGAAGAGGCTTTTGTATACAAGGACAAATTCATGCTTGATATTATACCTGCTGTTTTAAACTTTATGAAGATCATCAGGTTTGGTGTACGGTTTATTTCATAATGCTTTTTTTTATTATGCAATAGTTTGTTTCCATAGATAATCAAAAAAAGAGAATATTTATTGAAAACATATAGTTATGTAGAGGTGAAGCAAAAAGAAAATGATTCAACATCTCTTAATCATATTTTAATCTGCGTTGTCACTACTCTCTCATCGTTGTATTGTATTACAACATTTACAGCACTTTATAAGAAGGAATTACTACTTAAAATTTGTTTTCCTTCTACAATGGTGCAACTTATTCAAATCATCTGTTGTGCAATGATAGACAAGCTGGACTATGTACCTGAAGTTATCTGATACTTATGGTTCATTACAGATATTTACTGTAAATTCTTGTCAGGATTGGGTTTTTCGTTTTTAAATTTAATGTATGATCTGATTTACAGTTTTATATTTAATTTTACTGTAAAAGGGCATTTGAAAGTACATTTTCCACTAAAATCAATGCCATTTCTTGTGCCTTCTTTCATTGTTTTAAATAAAGTCATCCACTCTGTACCAGAATGTCATTAGTTCTTTTTTGCTCATGCCCCACCACCAAGATTGTGCAAAAACCTCCATGTTGAAATTCATCAGTCTTGCTGATATACAACACTAATCATACACTGGCTGACAGCTAAATTACCATGTTATGATATCACATTCAAACTGCATTAAAATAATTAGATTTTACACTTGGTCTGGTTTAGGCTATATGAAAGGTCATAAGGTTTTCTTGGCATAAATGGATGGAAATAAACACAAAATGCATAATAAATAAACAAACCGCACTTATGACAAATGAAACTGAAACAAGAAATGATTCTTGGTACAAGTTTTCTTGTAAGATTCATTAGCAAATAATACATAACACTCATTCCATTGCAGGTAGTCAAACAGATGAAAATAGACCAATCTAACCTGTAATACAGGTTGTAGGTGTAGTTGGCATTTAAAATATAACCTGTACATTTGAAGCACCACAACTCAGTTTACAACCTTTTCACATCTGAACACACCCTTTATTTGATACTGCGCCTCCTTTCATTTGTAATTTTAAATAAATAATGTTCAGCTTCAGTGTGTTTTGTTCTTAATTGCAGAACAAGTAGCAGTGTCCTTACTTTGATCCTTTTGTGGCTGACAGAAACTAACTACCATTCATTTTAACATCTGTGCTGGTCATGTTTGTACTGATGGTATGCACTGACATTGTTGTAGTGGCAGGACAATGAGGACTTGCTCTGTTTCCGCAGACGTGATGGGTCAATGGACGTCTACCATTGTTTCTCATTTCCTTTGGGGAAATGAGCTCAGAATGCTACTAATAAAAAGTAAAGGAAGCAGTGTGTCAGTGTCTGCGCATTTTAACAGTTATAAGTTACCAAGGTATAATCTATAGGTGAAAAATCTTTTTACATTTGGGTTTTAATATTAATTATTTTGAATCCTACTAAAGAGCCAAAAGAAGTGATACTCACATTCATATATAAGATGTAAACGATAAAAAAGACAAACAAGCACATTTCATACCATTTGTTTACTATTAGCTTTAAATTCACATACTCGTTTTGAAACAGAACCTAAACAAGTCACTAACGCATAGTTCCAAACCATAATGTGTGGGATACTAATACTGTATATGGAATATTTCTGTTTTTTATTCAGTGACACAAACTGTAGCCGAACAATATCCTTGCCACTACCCTCCATCTTGTTATACAGGCACGTTTGCTTTAGCCTTGCATTTTATGCCTTTCCAAATGAAAATGGCAGATAAACCGCATAAGATTCCCAGGACAAGTGCAGGGGCGCCTAGAGCCAGGGCCACTGTGGTGTTAGCTCCCACTGCAATGACCACCCCAGCAAACACCAAGACAACAGCAGAAGCTGCGGCCACGCGTATATTCTTTCTTTTAACCTTTTTCTTCCTGATTTTCTTTTCCTCCTGCTTCTGTCTCTCTGCATCCCATATTTTCCTTTCCTCCTCTTTCTTCTGTTCCTCCTCTTGGTTCCTCCGCTCCTCCTCCTCTCTCAGCTTCCTCTGGGCTTTCTCATACATTTCATTTGTGTAGTGCTTACCACCGTTATCCTGTACCATTTCCTTGATCATGTTGATCAGCTCTTTTACCTGCACGCGGTCATCCACGTCAGTGTTGTTGAAAGCATGATATCTGCGTCCAAATGTGATCGAGAGTCTCCGCAGCTCCTTGCACTCCTTCAGAGCATTGTCAGCTTTAGCTTGATCTTTACACGTAAACAGCATGATTGTGTACATGGAAGCATCGTCTCCAAAGTTATCTTGGATCCACTTAACAGCATTTCTTTCCTCTTCCGTGAACCTTACTCCAAGCCGGATTACCAGTAGGAAAGCATGAGGGCCAGGAACTGACATTTTGACACACTCCTCTATTCTGACTTTTAATTCTTCCTCTGAGATGCCTGTGTCAAACAGACCCGGAGTGTCAATAACCTGCACCAAGGTCCCATCCACTTCCCCACTATGCATCTCACAGTGTTTGGTCACAGACACGGGGCTGGGATCCTCTTTGAAGGCAATTCTTCCAAGGATAGTGTTTCCTGTTGCACTCTTCCCTGATCCAGTCTTTCCCACTAAGACTATCCTCAAACCTCCAGACAAATCCAGACCTGTGGTAGAAACAACAGACACAGAATTACTGGCATTTACAAAAAAAACAATGAATCCTTTCTTTTCTGCCTTGTTAGTCTTAAGTTAGTGTGGGTTTTTTTTTGTTGTTGTTTTTTAATTTAATCTCTGGACTGTCTGGAGAAAATTATACTATTCATTCATTTGTTGTTGTTTTAAAAAAATAATAATAGTAAATAAAACAACATTTATATATTGTTGTTAGTTACTGTTCTTACTGTCTTGGAGCTCCTGTGATCTGTGACCAAATAATTTCCCCTGGGATTAGTAAAGTATTCTGATTCTGATACATAATTACTGAAATTAGAGTAGAACAGCTACTAGTAGAGTCGAGTGACTAGAGAGAAAATGAAGGAGCATACCATCAAAGTTTTTCAGACCACACCCATCAGACCGAGGTAGAGTTTTCTGCTTCTTTTCTCTGAGTTGTATTTCTGTCACAAGTTACACCATTGAGAGAAAAAAAGGTAAGATTAGTCACTGACATCTTTAAGAAGGTCTGTATCTTTTTGACTTTGCCTCTTTTGCCCTTTTCAGTGTATCAATATCACATCCTAGAGTAATTAAATAATTAGTGCATTTTTAAACTAGTTCAGAGAGATGATCTTACCTTCAGCCATTACTTCAGATCTTGCTTTATATGTCCCAGGTGGCCAAGTCAGTTTTTTCAGACCTGAGTTCTGAACTTAGACAAGACAAACGTAGACTGTGTCTCGACACATTTCACATTAACTTTGTGGGAAACTTCTGGAAGCCTAGGCACCGGGGGCTTCCCATTTCCTTGTATTGTCTTCAGTTTGAAATGTGAAAACTGTCTGTGTAGGCTGTCCACAGCCCTCTAAATATGGTTAACAGGTTTGTGTTTGGACATTGCTGAGAAGTTTTCATAGCAAACCAACAAAAATATTAAGGTTTCTCATTTAATCGCATAAGAATATTTTATTATTTATATAAAATGTATATATTTTACAATAACTCTATAATGACTTTGCTCTCTTTTTAAAGGAGAGATATTCTTGACCCCCTCATGCTCAAGTTCATCTTATTCTTTTTTTAAAAAATGTAAAGAAATTTAAAATAAAAGAAAAGGATCTGTCTGAGCCTAGAGTTGTAGGTCAGTACAGATGAAAATGGTTTTACTTTGGTAGATGTTTGGTATTTGAAGTAATAATAATGACAGATTGCATTTATATAGCGCTTTTTGAGACCCTCAAAGCACTTTACAATTCCACTATTCAGTCACACATTGGTGGAGGGAGCTACAGTTGTAGCCACAGCTACCTGGGGTAGACTGACAGAAGCGAGGCTGCCATATCGTGCCATCGGCCCCTCTGGCCATCACCAGTAGGCAGTAGGTGAAGTGTCTTGCCCAAGGACACAACAACCGACACTGTCCGAGCCAGGGCTCGAACCAGCAACCTTCCGATTATAAGATGAACTGCCAACTCTTGAGCCACGATCACCCATAAGCAAAGTCTCTTGTTTGTTTCCCATTTTAATTGACAAAAAAAGTGAAACTATAAACAAACAGTCAATAGGTAAATAAGAATGGAAGACAAGTGTATTCAAAAATTCCTTTCATGCGGATGAATGGAATGCACAAACATTTTAAAAGTACATGTTATTGAAAGTTATTATTTGCCACATTCTTAGCCATTATTTTCACTTTTTTCCATCATAGAACTCACACCTAAGGAAAAAGGTCCATTGTGCCATTTAATTGAATGTGTCCAAGTGCTCCAACTAATGTCACCAGAACATATGAGGGGCAACATGCTTCTACACCAAAAGGTCCCTGGCAAGTCTTCGCTCTAGTCTTTGCTTCCCCCTGCACGTTTACTCTAGGTTTCCTATCTTATTGATGTAGTAATACTATCCATTGAATATTACTATGTTCTCTGTTTAACCTACAATTTCCCTGACTTGGAATCGATTCTAACTCGGGTCATTAAAGAGAGAATATCTTCTCTGAGTCACATATTAGTTTCTTTCAATTTTTGTTCTCTTTCACATAACCATCAAAGGATTTACCCTCAAGCAAAACAGCATCTGTAAGCAGGACTATGGTTTATGCGGAAGCATCTGTAACAACAGTATCCTGAATCCGCTTCACAGTGTCCTCCTGTCCTCAGTTCAGACTGATCACTAAAAGGAAAGTGTGGTGTCCAAGAACTGATTGCTCAATACACTCCTCAGTGTTTACTGTCACTTCATCTTTGCCACTGAATGGTGTGCTACAGAATAATTCAGAAAGTCTGCAACTCTACTGTTGAACTGATACACTTACAAACCAACCAAATATAATCTAGAATTAAA